GCTAATATTAAAAAAAAAAAATCATCGTAAATGAGGGGAAAACATATCAACTATGTGGCAGGCTCTATAGAGTATCTTTTCACATTTATTGAATGTAAAATTATCTAGGCATACCTCTGTTTACACAGCACATTGTTTAGTGAATACGAGAAGCAGATAGGAACTTGGATCCACCGGGTTCTCCACGTGGACTTTTAGGGATGTGGGAGGTGAAGGTGTCAGTTCTGTCGGAAGACAGGGCACCGGGAAGGAGGCTCACAGACTAGACTCTGCTGTTCTTCACTGAGTCCTGAGTGCCCGTGTTCTGGACCAGGCTGCACTTCTAAGAACTAGGTGTGAAAACGCTGGATGGTTGAAAATTTTGCTTTCTATAGGATGGGAGCTTGAGAGAGTCAGCTGTGGTGTGGCTCATATGTCTGTAATCCCAGCCCCTGGAGGCTAAATTAGGAGGACCATGGGAGATTCCAGGGGAGCCTGAGCTTACAGACAGCATGGGCTATAAGTGAGATTCTGTTTCAAAACCCAAAAAAGAAAAAAAAATGGGGCTAAGGGGGTAGCTTGATTAGTAGAGTGCTTGTCTAGAGTGCTGGAAGTTCTGGGCTCCATCCTCAGTGCCACATAAATCTTTAATTCCAGCTCTTGGAAGGATGAAGTAGGCAGATCTCTGTGAATTGGAGACCAGCCTGGTCTGCATAAGAAGTTTCAGGCCAGCCAGGACAACACAGTGAGATCCTGTGTCATATCATAAATAAATAAACAAACAAACAAACAAACAAACAAACAAACACACGGAACAAAATAATAATTCAAGGTCATCTTCAGCTGCCCAGAAAATTTGAAGCTAGCCTGGCTTACAAGAAACTTTTGTCTCAAAGAGAAAGAAGCTAAGCTAAGTACACTAAGGAAAATGGAAGACTAAAAATGATGCTCGTCTCAGCAGTGGGTCATGGACATTTTCAGTTGTGATGATTTACTCAGTTGTGCTCGGGAACTGCCTCTATATGCATTCTATATGCTCTTTTCCATAAAAGAAAAAAGCAGGCAATGTTCTAAGTCTACAAAAGCCAAGATACACAGATATGCATTCTTTATCTGTGTGTGTATGGGGGTGGGGGTGGGGGATCTGGGAAGTGGCCATTTACTTTTAAGAAGTAAGTTTCTTTTTCATCTGGTTAGCCCACACAGGATGTACAGTACAAGGTGACCTCCGAACTTAGGACATTTTGTTCCTCCTCCCCAAAGTAAGAAAAATTTTCCAATGTTTTTTTTCATGCCTGCATTTTAGCAAACATTGAAAAATATGGTTATTTCCTTATTTATTTGTGCATGTACCTGGGTGTGTGTCTGGACGCCAGGGGTCAACTTTCAGGAGTTAGTTCTTTCTTTTGCTATGTGGATGCAGGGACTGAACACAGAATGCCAGGAGTACCTTCTCAACCATCTCATTGGTCCCCAAATTCTTGACACCACAGAGTGGGCCAGTGACTTGCTCACAATCCTACATTTATTTGCATCCTCTAAGACCAACTTGCACATAATCATCTTGCTTTCCCTTGGGTTTATCTGGGACAGGAGAATCCATATGTATTTTGGGAGAGGACCAAATGATGTGGAAACATTTGTAGGCTCAGGACAATGAACAGGGGAAAGAAACTATTCGATTACCTTGTGTTTTGTTTGTTTGTTTGTTATTTTGTTTTTTTTTCTCTGTGTAGTTTTGATGCCTGTCCTCGAACTCACTCTGTAGCGCAGGTTGGCCTTGAACTCACAGAGATCCACCTGCCTCTGCTTCCCGAGTGCTGGGATTAAAGGCATGCCCACTGCCCGGCTCGATTACCTTGTATAGAAGAGAAAGTCATGTGTTCACAGAACTATGATATTCACCCAACTTACCCCCTTTTCTTTAACCATACTAAAAAGGGACCTGTACTTTGGTGTGAACGAACATAAAGGCCTGGACATAGACAGCAGCCTCCTCCTTGTGGCCTGGATAAACGGAAGGATGCCCCAGTTCCAACAGTGGATCACGTGAGATCACATTAGTGAGTTTGCTATGAAGTCAATGTCTAACTTTTCTATGATGTTTAACTTATTCAAATTATGGAATGGAAGAGAGCTCAAGTGGCATCCAGAATTCCCAGGTTCACCTTTGGAAGAGCAGTCTTCTCACATCCTGAACCCGGATTATTTCTTTTCCGTGAATGAAGCCTAATTTGATCAGCTCATTCCAATTCAGTTCCTTTCTACCCATTTTTCTGAAAGCTTTTTAGGCTAGAAGGAAGTTTGAGGAAAAGCAAACCCATCGGCAACAGTGCAGAGAATCCAGTACTGCTCAGTTAACTCCACCAGCGGCATACATACTATGGCCCTGTTGGCACACATTCCTCCCCGTACACAGATGCACGTCTGTGATGTGCCTGTGTTTGTTGACTCAATTGCTGCTATCACTCTTAGTATCTTCTTAGAACACCGGTGTCGTATTTCATACCCACAATTCCGCCATTGCCCTCAAGAAGGTTATCATTGATGACCAATGGCCGTGTGTGTGTGTGTGTGTGTGTGTGTGTGTGTGTGTGTGTGTGTGAGCATATGCACACATGGGCCAGAAATTGATTTTGGATGTCTTGCTCTACCGATCTCCACTTTATTTTTCAAGATAATTTCTCAGCGAGTCTGGAGATTACCGTTTCAGCTAGACTGGATGGCCAGTGAGCCCCACACCCCGCTTTTCACCACACCTTCCCAGGGTTGGGGTTACGGACATGTGCTGCTGCACCTGGCTTTTCTGTTTGGGAATCTGAATTCAGGCCCTGAAGCCTGTACATGAAACACATCATCCACTGAGACATCTCCCGAGTCCCAGCCAATGTAATAAATGTTCCATAATCAACTTCTCCAAACTCATGCTTATTTATTTGTTTGTTTGTTTGTTTATCCTGTTTCTGAAATGAGTCTCACTGTGTCTCCCCAGCAGAATGGAACTTCCTATGTAGACCAGACTGGCCTCAAACGAACAGAGACCCACCTGCCTTGCTGGTGTGTTATCTGTATTATTTGTAAAGTGTTTTTTAGAGGATTGAATTTTGCACTTTTAATGTTCTTCCCTGTGCCTTTTCTTCCACGTATTTCTACTTCTTTCGTGACTTGGACATAAGTGAGGCATCTGGACCTGTCGTCTTACTTCATGTCCAACAGGTTAGATTTAGCTGGTTTTCCTGTGACACTCACAAGTCTATAGGACAACAAAAACAACCTGTATATAAACTGCTGTTTTGCTATCTCTGTCCCATGTTTTTCCAAGTTTGAAGTTCACTTCACAATTCCCTGATGCCTTCCACCTGGAAACAATCCTGGAAGATCCAGATACTTAGCTTTTCTTATGGGATGTATCATTTTTCCATACGTGTTCCTTTCATTTGTTTGGATACCTTTTGTCTTCTCTCCAATGAAAGGTCATTTAAAGGTGGACCTAAAGTATCTTTGTGGGCTGGCATCTAGCAAAGAGTGGCTCACAGAGCAGGCATTCTATCTCTCATGGTCGGCCTACATATCTATCTGGTGGCTGGATGGCTAGTTGGATGAGTACAATAGCTGTCATTGCTGAGACACAGTGAGTTGGTTAAAAACTTAAATTGTAAAACCACTTACAGAATTTCTTATTTTATTTTTATTTATGTGAATGTGTATGTATATGCCACATGTGTGGGTGCTGGAGAGTCTGGGAGAAGGTGGTAGATATTCTGGACCTGGAGTTATAGGCAGTTTGTGAGCTGTTCAAGGATGTAGTGGGAACCAAACTCTATTCCTTCGCAAGAACAAGTATTCTTAACTTCTGGGCATCTCTCAAGATCCTCCTTTCTTTATATGTGTATTTTGTGTGCACACAGTAGTCTATCTCAAAACACCTTTTCTCTTTCTTTTTTAAAATTTTTAGTAAAAATAAAACATGTATGTCATATGCCTCAAGAAAGTTCTTTCGCCGGGCGGTGGTGGCGCACGCCTTTAATCCCAGCACTTGGGAGGCAGAGGCAGGCGGATCTCTGTGAGTTCCAGGCCAGCCTGGTCTACACAGTGAGATCCAGGAAAGGCACAAAGCTACACAGAGAAACCCTGTCTTGAAAGACCAAAAAAAAAAAAAGTGCTTACTGGGTTGGGGATTTAGCTCAGTGGTAGAGCGCTTGCCCTGGGTTCGATCCTCAGCTCCAATAAATAAATAAATAAAAGACCAAACTTTAAAAAAAAAGAAAGTTCTTTCATAAAAATCATATTGTTAAGCATTCAGGGGACTCTTTCCACCTTGAGATTTCATTGTTTATTTTAAAACTTTTAAAAGCAAATTGTGTTGTGTGTATGTGTATGTGTGTGTGTGTGTATGTGTGTGTGTATTTGTGTGTGTGTGTGTGTGTGTGTGTGTGTGTGTGTGTGTGTGTATGTGTGTACATTTACCACCACGCACTTGTGGATGCCAGGGGAAAACTTTGTGGAGTAGTTCTCTCCTACCTCTCCTCTCCATGGGTTCTGGGGTCATGCTCAGGTCACAGAGGCTTGTGTGGCAAATGCCTTCTCCCACTGAGCATCCCACTGAGAGTCCATCCTTTCACACCGGGGAAACACTTGCATTTCTGTCTCCTGAGGAGTAAGGTCCCTCCGAGGGCTGTGACTGAGACTGATCCTCCCTGTCTTCTCTTTCTCAGCCTCTGCTTTCTGAAGCATTCCTTTAATGCTTGCCTTGAACCTGTCACATAGTTTCTAATCTATCTTTTTTACCCCCGAGACAGGGTTTCTCTGTGTAGCTTTGGCCATCCTGGAACTAGCTCTGTAGACCAGGCCGGCCTCGAACTCAGAAATCCACCTGCCTCTGCCTCCCGGGTGCTTGGATTAAAGGTACGTGCCATTACTGGGCTTTAAGATATATACTTTTCAAAATAAGTTTTCAGGACTTGGTCTGAGTTCCTTTTTATCTAACCTATTTCTTGTTTTGGGAGTTTTTTTTTTTTTTTTCCTGCTCTTCCTGATGCCTTTCTCCAGTGCACCAGCCCCCAAGCCTCAGCTCTATCCCACTGGGCAGTTATCTCTCATCTTCCACCCATTTTCTGTCTTCTAGAACATCTTCTGTGAAAATCTCGCCCTCGGATGGACTCTGATAACTTTGCAAGTTCCTTTTTTCCTTTATCATCACTCTGGTGAAGTGCTGGGAAAGAGAAGAGATAAATACGCGTACTCAGTTTGCCGTCTTCAGTCAGTCTGTTTTATTGAAAAGTGTATGGGTAAAAAATTTCCCCCGGGGTAATTTGGTTTTGTGAATAGTGTAAGTTCCCTGCCTGGAAGATTCAAGAAGTGATGCTCTGCTTATGAGACTAAGGTTGGAGGGCTCAAAGTTTCCTACTCAGTAATCTGGTAAGAGGAAGCATTTAGACAGGAGAGGGAGATAAACTCTGCAGATGTTTAGACAGCCCTGACACTCATTTACAACTGGATAAGATAGTTCTACAAAAAAAGTTTAGTTAAAGCAAAAGATCGTGTTCGTTCCGCAGTGGTGGTCCTGGGAATGTCCTAATCTTTGATTTCCTCCAAACTTTGGCACCTGAGAGAATAAAGCCGCAGCACCAGGGCCACTCCTAATGCAACTCACTCTCAAAGAATGTCCCCTTTGAGCCACTGTGATACCTGCTGGTTACTCCCATAGATTCCTCTGGATTGGCTGCGACTGCAAATAAAACACTGTTTGCCTGCAATCAAGTCGATAAGCTCCAATATAAACGAAGGCAGGCACCTGTTCTCAGGCGGCAACTGTGGCGTTCACTCTCTTTCTTCCTAAACGTTTTCATGCAAGAACTGAGAAGGACCTATTGTCTCTGGCCAGAAGAAGAAGATCTTTAAGGAAGAAAAGGCCCAAAATGGGGCTGCTGAACTCTAAAAATCCCAAAGACAAGCAAGCCCACATTCTCCTTCTGGGACTCGACTCGGCTGGGAAATCTACTCTGCTTTACAGGTTAAAGCTTGCCGAGACTCTCACAACCATCCCCACCATCGGCTTCAACGTGGAAATGGTCCAGCTGGCCAGCGGCCTCCCGCTCACCGTGTGGGACGTCGGAGGCCAGGAGAAGATGCGGACGGTCTGGGACTGCTACTGTGAGAACGCAGACGGGCTGGTGTACGTGGTGGACTGCTCCGACGGCAAGCAGCGCCTCGAGGACTCCCGCAAAGAGCTCAAGCACATTTTGCAGAACGAACACATCAAAAACGCGCCGGTCGTCATATTAGCCAACAAGCAGGACTTGCCTGGAGCTCTGAGTGCCGAGGACATCACCAGGATGTTCAAGGTGAAGGAGCTGTGCAGCGACCGGAACTGGTACGTGCAGCCCTGCTGCGGAGTCACTGGAGAAGGGCTGGATGACGGGTTCAGGAAATTAACTGAGTTTGTGAAAAGCCACCTGAAGACAAGAGACACCTTAGCGTTCTTCAAGCAGAAATGAGGCGGTGCGACCGTCCCAGCCTCTGAAAGACAGTGATGATGTGAAAATGGGAAATCTGTCTTATTTCCCATGTAAAGTGAGAAAGTGAATTATCGAGTTAGCCAACTTTTCTGGAGATTCATTGCACCCGGTCCCGCCAAAGAAGGAGCTTTATAGCAAACTATGGGGTCATGGTCGTTGAGATGGAAGAATTTATATTTTGAAAAGGTTAATATGTTGGATGATTTGAAAGTCGTATTTAGAACCAGATAAATGTTTATTAATTTTCTATGACCTCTGGGGTAATATCTGTCTGCTTACACAGTCAGGATTCTTTCAAATAGTTCCCAGCTGTGGCAGGGATTGAATTTCTACCCTGTTCTACCCTGGGTAATAACTGAGTGGTGAGAAAAAAATTAAATTATGAAGAGGGGAAAGGCTGATGTTAACCTCTTGAAAATCTTCATTATCTAAACAGAGCTCCTTTCCCCTAATCCTGGCAGCTTTTTGAAATCTATTTCTGGTAACTTTCTTCAGTGAGTCTTTTTTAAAAATATATTTTTTATCCTTTGAGTATTTAATACGATGTATATTGATCATATTCACACACACACACACACACACACACACACACACACACACACACGCCCTCAGTGAATCTTAAACAATTTTTAGATTAGGTGTTCTGCAGGGTAGCCTCTTGAGTTTAGAGTTCCGCCCCAGGCTGCAGCCTCGGGACCTGCATCAGTGGAACTCAGTTCAGCAGCCCCATCCCCTGGGAACACAGGTGCTCTGGGTAGTGACCGAACAGGAAGCCAAGGCAGACTTTGCTCCCAGAGACCTTGCAGTTCACTGGGTGAAGCGACAGGAAGCTGGTAGCTGGAGCAAGGCAGTACTCGTGCAAGTTATTGCAGGAGAGACGCCCGGGGAAACAGGAAACACCTCCTGTAGGAGATGGAGTTGAAGAGGGCGTCTCTGCCCTCTACCAGGGACCCCAGCCAGGCAGAGATTAGTCAAGAAACGTTCTCATCACTGGGTGGTGAGAATGCCATCAGGACCAAGGAAAGGGGTGGGTGGTTGAGGGGCAAAGGAACTGAGAATGGAGTTGTAATCTCTGAGAGGAGTAGAGCTCCCAGAGAGGCCCTGGAGCTAACGCTTTCCTCTTTTCTACAACAGTGAGGCTCCTTTGGTGTAAGGGAATATCACTGAGCTCCACAGCAACCCTAGAGGCTACAAATCATGACAGGGGAAAATAAAGGGTTAATAAGTCAAGTGTAGAGCTGGAGAGGTGGCTCAGAGGTTAAGAGCACTTACTGCTCTTCCAGCAGACTTGAATGAGTTCCTAACTCCTGTTGGATGGCTCACAATTAATTACATGTGACTCCAGTGTCAGGGGATCCGACACCCTTTTCTGGGCACCAGTACATATGTGGTACACATGTACATACACACATAAGTAAAAACAAAAATAAATCTTAAAATAAGTCAAAGGTAGTGGCCCCTGGGTTCCTTTAAGTTTTTTCTTTTCTCCTTGTAGTTATAGTTTGCTCACTGAAGGTCTTTCTGTGCTTCACAGTATAGACCTCAGTAAAGAAGACATATAATAATGGCGACTTTTGGTTTAAAACTGTGTATACCAGTCATCGGGATAAACACTTTCCCAGATCTTCTCATGTAATGTTTACAACAAGTCTGAGGGAAAAAATAGGCATTGTTATTTCAGTTTACAGATGTGAGCATTGAGGCTAAACAAGGTGAAATCACCCTCCCCCCCTTACACACACACACACACACACACACACACACACACACACACACACACCCATTTAAAATTTTATGACATTAGTGTGTGTGTGTGGTGGGGGGTCAGAAGACAATTTTGAGGAGTCATTTCCTTCCACCGTGTAGGTCTCCAGCCATCTATTTCCCCCTTTCTTTTATTTTTGAGTTCAATAATATAATTACATAATTTCTCCCTCCCCCCTCCAAACCCTCCCATATACCCTGCCTTGCTCTTTTTTAAATCTGTGCTCTCTTTTTTCACTGATTTTAACTGAGAAATTGCCAGATTGGAACTCAGGTGTGTCTGACACCATGAAAGGCCTCTGCTGCTCCTTACCTTGTTGTTCTAGAGACAAAATATCTTCTCTGCCATCAGTGAGCTTCCAGCACACAAGGGCTGGGGCTGCAGGTGTAACTCACTGGTAGAAGAACTCTACCAACAGTTTAAGATGCTCTGGGTTTGATTCCAAGTACCGGGGGATGGGGGAACTCTAGGCACTATGGATTCTATAACAAGAAAGTGCTAAGGAAAAAAAGAAGGCAAATATACTAGATAAGCATACTAACAGATACAGGAAGCATGTAGAAGATCTGTGACTGATTTCAGGGATCTCTGGGATGGGGATGTTAAAGGTTCGGTGTAGAGTTCTTTCCTGAGTTTGCAAGCTGACTAAAGCCCCATGCCTATCTCCCTTTACAGCTTCTTTATATGTTTTTAATTTAGTCTTAAAATTAGGAGTCACTCCTTTATTTCAATGCAGACTATCTGAACAGAGAGTGTCTTTTGTTCCTGCTACTTGGTAATATGAATTAGGTCAACCTAGCATGATGTAAAACTCAAGGAAAACAATTTGAAAAAATATTGAAAATACTGGATAGCTTGGGTATGTGTGACTGGTGTAGTGGGCATATACATTCTCAAGGTATGGCAAACTGATACAGTGTGTTTTCCTGTCATTGACAACTCACTCTCTCAACAGCCAGTGTTCCTCAGAATCTGTTCCAGAAATGTGCAGGGTTGGTTGTACCCAGGACCCACTAAACAACAGTTACTAGTGTTTTTATGTTAATTTCACCAGTATTGGTACACACACACACACTATACATATATATACATATACACTATATATATGTACACACACTATATATATACACACACACATACATACACATAACACACACATGCACACTATACATACACTGTATATATATACACACTCTATATGTATATATATATACACACATGCACACATATACACCACACAAACACACACACTATACATATATATGCATACACTATATATATACACACACTATAGATATACACATGCGTGCGCACGCACATACACACACAAGCATGCCCCCTGAACACTCTTCACCCTGATATATTAATAAAGGCTGAATTTGAGGGAAGAAGACGAGCTGTAGACGACAGTAAATCAACAGTAAAGTATTTCCCAGTCGATGAAAGAGCTGTGCGCACTCACACCTTAATGTTTATGACTATACTTTTTATTTATTTTCTTCCATACGTTTATTTATTTATTGTGTGAATGGTGCTGGAGGTGAACCCAGGGCCTCACACATACTGGGTGAGTACTCTGCCCTTGAGCTGGGTTACCCCCCGTCAGACTTCTTTATTTTATTCTACTTAATGCATTCTTTCAGGCATTTCATCTGTGCATTTTTATTTTTTATGCCTAAATAAATTTTATTGTGTCTATCTGAGGTTTACCATATGGTGTTCTAGGGGACATGGAGATTATAAGATGGTTTCTATAGTGTAGCAAGTTACCATCTCACAATGTTATTTGTGAGACAAAACCAGCCAGAATCAGCTTATTAACAGACGTCCTCAATACCGTGGAGTTTCCTCCTGTCCCTGTTACATACTCAGGCAGAACTGACAGGACACTGACGTGGCCCCGGCAGGGACAGAAAAGCCACCATTTCTGACAAGTGTCAGGGTCGAAGACCTGAAGCCCAAGTCTACATTTTTCAGATAAAAGTAAAAATCAATTAAGTATTTCAATTTTCTTTTCTACATATTCTAAGTAAAAGCAGTTCCTCCAGGGCATAGTGAAAAAGGATAAATAAACAAAACAGCCATACTTTGCTTTTCATCGTTTCATTTGCTGTGTGTTGTATTATCTTGAGCATCACTGAGTGTTTATCTTTATGAGTCCAGTGGAGTGTTTATGTCCTCTTTAAATTCCTTGAATTCTTTGATAAACATTTATGACAGTTTTTAAAAACCCTGTGTCCCGGGGTTCATCTAGGCAGCTCTCCTCAGAGAACACGTCTGTAGGGCTAGTGGGTTAAGGGAAGACGAGCCGTCTTGGTCATCTTATGTTCATTTTGGTTTTGTGATTTGGCCTGGGCTTGTGGACTTCCTTTGGTTGTGTTTGATGTGATTCTGGCTTTCTTCAGAGCAGGCCGGGGCAGGACCTGCTGGTGGATAAGCTGTTCTTATCCTGTGGGTGCAGAGATGGGCGGAAGGCCCCAGCAGTTAGAATAGGAGAGGGAAGGAATGTCTCACCGGTCAAAGGAGACAAAGACTTGAGCAAAGCACTTTTGAAGGCCTCTGGACCTAGGCCTGTGGGTTTGGAGATGACCACAGGCAGGGTGGGGATATGAAGGGTAGATGGGAAAGGGCGGAATCGACTCACCAAGCAGAGCCAATTCCTGAGCAAGAGGGCCGGCAGTCTGTGGGATCGGAACTACTGTACTTTCTGAGACAGTGTCTCATGTAGCCCAGGCTGGCCTGAAACTAGTTATATATCCAAGACTGGACTCAAATGCTTAATCCCCTGTCTCTACTTCCTAAGTGCTGAAATTACAGGTGTGTACTACCACACCCTGCGTGACTACCTTATATTAAAGTTAAACTTGTCGCTGTCCAAAAACAGTGAGAGGAAACAGCCGAGAGACTTCTCCTTTGGCAGTGCTAATGGGCACTTAAAAAACGTAATCTAATAATGTCCCGGGGATTCCGGTCCAGCAGTTTTAACGCCTTGTGTTAAATATTAAGATTTATGTTAATGTTATGTTAAATGTTACTATTGCTGGGCTAAATTACATCAGACCTGAGAAAGCACACACAAATACAAAAGGTAGTTATTAGATGACTTAAGTGTAAGAACAGCATTTTCGAGGCTGATGGGAAGACAGCCACCCCCACCTGATGCGATTCCGATCAGACAGGGACTAGCCAGCTGGTGGGTCCTCAAGGCCTGGCTGCCGGGAAGACATCCAGGGCCCTGCCCAGCACCTTGTGTTGCCGGGCAGGTGGGCCTTATCATGATAAGGAAATATGTGTTGGGGAAATGGGAGCGATAAGGGAAGTGGAATGGTTCCTGCGCTGTGGAAAGATGCAGAAAGGAAGAAATGAAGACGGTGAAGAGTGGGCAAATGTTGGTGGCCTGTTTGTCACTGGGGCCATGGTGATGTCCAGGCTGGGCTGCTGCCAAGGGTCATGTCTAGGTCCCTGGCCCTACGGTAGCCTGGGTCTGT